CCATGTCAGCACACAGTGATTCACATATGGCTATATTGGGGCTATACTAATCTGAAACCTTATCGCGTGCTCATTCAAATTCCTGAGACGTTTGCTTGCGGATGTTCTGAATCCTGTCCTAGACACCGACGGCAAAATATCACAGGGAGACCGGAAGACGCATGATCTTCTAAAAAAAACAGGTTTTAGGGTTTGGGGTTGGAAAAAGGCAAAAGAGGAACATCATGTGCCCTCTGAACTGCCAGGCCCTTGCCCTTTGACTGTACTGTATGTCTGGCGTCTAAGTATAGAAGCATCATCTACTTCAATGGTCTACTACCTACTTGAAAGAGCCCTGCAACTATGTGCTTGCAGCCGTAGGGATAGTCAACGGATTACCGGTCAGCATGCTCAAATGTACTTCTTCAGCAACAGAAATAAAGCAGTTGTCGTAATCATAGCTGTACTTGTAGCAGCCGCAGTAGTAGTCGGTGTGCTGGTGCTGGTGCTGGTGTTTGCTGCTGCTGCTGCTGCTGCTGCTGCTGGTCACATGGTCACAACAAGCAGCAGCAGCAGCAGCAGCAGCAGCAGCAGCAGCAGCAGCAGCACAGCAGCAGCATAGCAGGAGCGAGAGAGAAAGAGAGAGGAGGTAATCAGCATCTAACCAACGAAAACCGTCTGACCTTAGACAGCTGGCTAGACACAGGACGATGGAAGATGGAGACCAGTTCCTGGAGTGATTGTCATAAACTCCTCGCACCTCGAGAAGTTTCGAGTCTCATGAATAGTTCTCAGTGGGCCTGGAAGATAAGAAATAGAAAGGTCTGTAAATGTGAAACAAGGCACTTGTCACCCCAGATAATGCTACCCAACAATTTGACGTGGTTGAGAACTGCCAATCGTCCGTGAATCCAAACCACGTTCAAGCCGATTCCCCATGAAGTCTGTGCGTCCATGTACAGCCCTGAGAAGGGGCATCCATATAAAAAACCTACAATACATCTTCAATTCAGCCAGAGGCACTCCATGAGCATGTAAATGTGGTTGGCATCCTGTGAGCATTCTGAAGTCATGGGTTCCCCCCCCTTTGATGGGCCTCCATTTGCCCGAATTATCCTTGAACAGCCCTCATTTAAGGGGGAACCTTGGGAGGCACTATGGGCGAGGAAGGGGGGGTGCTTAAAGGAAACTCAGAAGGAGGAAAGGCTTCGTCGGGCACAGCCCCTCCCCGCTGCTTTCAAAGAAGGAGTACCCCACTTCACCTATGAAGCATCCAGGTCCTCACTGACAAAACCTAGAACAGATCTTGGAGATGCTCACTTCGCAAAACCTGCCGCTTACACCATGAACTGCTGCAATACTGATTGCACTGGAGTCCTGCGGCACCCAGGGCGTTGAGGAAGAAACTTCCGATTGATGTACAGTTCTTGCGGTTCAAATACTGATTCAATGCAAACTTGTAGCACTTGAGGCATCAGACATAGCTCGAAACAACTGCCACTTGGGGCTTCTTGTGCAAGAGGTTGTCTGACCCGCGTTCTTCACCAAGCTAACTGCCGGAGACTAGGGTTTTGGTTTGCGGTTTAGGGGTCTGGGGGGATTGTGTTGGAATACCTTAAAGTCTCCCAAGGCTTCCCTATCACAGTTTCTTGCATAATAAGCAAATAGAGCGATCGTCTGTTCCTGTGATGGTCTACATACAAGCCCAGCACATTGAACCGTAACCTTTACATCTGAAACTCTGAAGCCCAACCCTTGCCAGCGAATTAAGAACCCCACCCCCCGCTGAATGCTCTTTAGAACCTCTTTGGAAATTAGTGTCTTTGCCAATTCCAAAGCTGAAACACATATCTTGTGAGCAACACGTCTTCCTAGTGACATCGGCTATTCTCCAATAATTTGACACTACCCGTCATGAATCTTGGCCGGAAAACGCCGACACGTACGTGGTCCTTGCATGAACCAAACGAAGGTTGGTTTATGTTGGTCTACCTTCTGAAGCAATGTAGAAATCGCATGAAGTTTTTTAAGGCAGTTTGGGCTACACCGCTTAGTTGCGGAGGTTTACAGATGGCTGGGGATAACAAGACTACGATGCTCCTGCCGGGGGCAAGTCTTGGACATCAGGACGCCGAACAGGAATGCAGGGACACGGACAAAGACTTTCACCCTACCGGCTTCTCCATTCTTTGGAGCACAGCATTGACTGTCCCAGAATGTACAGTTTGCATTTTGACTCAGAAATCTAGCCTGCGCGGAAAACGCACGGGCTTTTTGCGGACAGAGATTTTATTAAAAACAAAACAGTTTTTAATAAACACACTTTTTTTTTTTTGAAAATACGCTTTTAAACAAACCAGAACTGTCCCTGGCAAAAGCCAGGTAGGCGACGGAGCTGCAAGTTTTAAGGCTTCAAGTAGCAAGTCTCATTACAGCAACTACAAGCACCTAGGAGACTAACCATGTCCTGCCTGTGGGCAGCACCAGTATGCATTTGTGCCGTCCGAGACAGCCACTACTTTGCGAACCTAGTGCCTTCTCCACTGCGTATTTCCCTTGTGTCTGCTACCGTAGTCGAAAAGCAATGCATTGCAGGTTAGGGACGATGAATGCGAATCTGTGTACATATTCTCACTACCCTTCACATAATCGACTGCCATATTCACTACAAGGCAGCAATCCTCAAAAACGCAAGCCATCTTAACGTCGGATCGCAGCCCTGGCATCAAGTGAGCAATTAGGCTTTACCGCCAATCTCCCCAAGAGAAGCGAACAAAAACACCACATGTCATTAAAAAGCACACCGGCGGGGTGGGGGGTCATAATTGGCTGATGAAACCCCACAAACTGCAGTCGAGCCCTGCACTTGTCCGATCCCTGGCCCAATGTAACCCTAGGGCTCAAATTCTATTGAAAACGGTATGGGGGCCCAAAATCCTTCAGACATGAATCCTCAGAGTTTCAGGGCAATACTCATGGCAGAGGGATGTCGGATTCAAACACGCAGTGTCCCCGTAGTAATCTTGGAGAGCTGCATAGCTGGAGTACTTCCCGTTGAACGGGGTGTGGAATGGGTGAGCTCAGGGAACGTATGCAGGAGCGACGAAGGCAAAATCTACGTGATTCACATGCTCTTGAGGACATGGGCTTGGAAGTAAATCACTACAATAGGAAGTCCCTAAACCCTAAACCCTAAACCCTAAATCCTAAACCCTAAACCCTAAACCCTAAACCCTAAACCCTAAACCCTCATTCTCCATGTCCCTGTGGAAAGCCTTGATAGAAGCTCATGTCAGAGCTTCTCAATACTGGCGGCCCTTAAGGGGCCCGGGGATAAAAAAGGATTCGAAACAAATCATTTAGGGTTTAGGGTTTAGGGTGAGCTTCCTACAAAGTGTTCGTAGGGGGAATCTCAGAAACTCCCAGAAGAGTAGAGAGAGAGGCAGCTGAAGTCATTCTATCCCTGTTCTCAGAGAATCCGTGGTTGAAAAATGCTTGGGATCTGCTTGGGCTGTCGTGGCATCTTGAACCCTCATCCCTAAATCCCTAAACCCCAAATCCTAAATCCCTAAATTTTTAAACCCTAAATCCTAAAACCTAAATCCCTGAACCCTGAATGCCTGAACCTCAAAAATCCTCAGTCTGCAAACCCCAATCCCTACTCCATCCACAAGAGCCGGCTGCCTGAAAAGTCGCGAAAAGCTCCACGAACCACCTTTGGCGATTTAGGGTTAGGGTTTGGGCCTTGGGGTGTTTCTGTGTTCCAGGGTTTTCTCGGAGGAACAGGAGCCTTTAGCAATTAAGAAAATAACTACTATACACCACATGATAAGCGCTCAGTACCGCAACTATTTCCCTACTTGGTAAGTTCTCCTAACTCGGTTTCTGGGGTTCCGGCGTCTGGTGCTTTTGGGGTTTTCCGGGCCCAGAGTTTCCAAAGATGGAGTATCCCCCTTCATAGCCCCTATAATACTCCACCATATACTCCCCCATATTTAAACTATAGCTCATATGATGGGTGTGGGGTGTAGCAGTCCATACCCTGGCGGAAGCAATGCCTTAGCCTCAGGCCTCGTACTAGGAGGGTGTGTGTGGCTGTGTGCTATTTTCGGGTTTACCAAAAATTTGGGGGTACTTGGACGCCCATTGGACTTAGTAAGTACTTATAACTGGGCTTACAACTGTATTGATAATCCCCCTACATGGGCTTATTCTAGGGGTTAATTACCCCAATCATAAGTAGGGCTATAATCCCAATTATAAGTAGCTACTAGCGCCCATGGACCTCCAAGTACGCCTTTTGGGGGTCCCTATACTATATCATAAAGTTTGTAGTATCTTGGGTTTAGACCTGTACGCATGGTTAAGCCGTCTACGGCGTATACGGCCCCCATCATAGCCCCTTGACAAGGCACCGTCACTACATAATAAGTGCTAATCCCAAACTGTCATTCTCTTTAGGCAGGTAAAGATCCAAGAAGCCCCCATTGACAGGCATTGCTTCCGTACAGTGGCTAAACTTACTCCATAATCCACATAACATATACTTGAGCCCCGAAATAGCTAATCATTTGGGAGCCCCTTTCGGCCCCAAGTACATACCATATACCTACATGGGCCCTCTGAGACTTGTACTACAGTATAGGCAACCTCCACCCTACCCTCAAGACTGGATCACCACAGGAGCCTGTTTTCGGAAGCATCCCTGGCCCCATGGGGTCCAGAAAGTGGGGCTACCCCTTGAGGGTTCCTAGAATGTAGCCGATAGCAATAAAGGGAATTACACTGGAGAATGTACATTCTAGATCCACCTATGGGCCTGGGATCGCATAGAACAGGAGTACTCCAAGGGATCTTGGACACGCATACGTGTCATGAGCAAACTGAGGGGTAGTTTTGAAACCCTAAACCCTACACCGTAAACCCCAATAAACCCTAACCCTGACCCTAACCCCGATGGGTTACCGAAAACCCATGATAAGGTAACTACTCAAGCCCTATACCCTACTTACCGATAGAAGGTCAGATTAATCAAGTTCCTGAAAAGCAGCCTAGGAAGTGCTATCCCGGCACGGGCCTATTTCGAGCTTGAGCAAGGACATCCCGCCTCCACGTCGATTGTGGTTATGATAGGGGTTGTGGGGTGTACTTAGGGGCGGGTACACAGGGGTCCTAGAGCGGCTATTCAAATCTGATGTGAGGACTATCTGGAGGTCTCGAGAGCGCGGAGTTTCTGAAAAGTACGAGGGCTGAAAGCGGGGTGGACAGCCATTATCTAGAACGACGTACCTGTAACCCTACACGCACAGCGAACAACGAGCCTCTGATTAGGGTGCAGGATCCGCGTCGGGGATGGTATGTCCCCGCACCTACTCAAAGCATACGAACTCACAACTGGCCAGATGAAACCAGAAGTAAGGTCAAGAGGGCCCCTAACTCGACCATCTCGAAAACGTCAACGAAGCTAAAAAACCTAATCTGCAAAAAGGCATGAAGAGTAGGGGTAAAAAAAGCTGGAAAGTAAAGCTACAAACTTTCAATCTGGACAAAGCGCGATTGCCTTACTGCAGCTTGGGTCGGATTTTTTGTGGGACCCTAGGGTTATTAATGGGTTCGGTAACCTGCTTATAAAGGGTAATGGGCTTCTTGAGGGTATATGATATATCCCCAGCTCCCTGGGGATCCCCCAAAACGGAATGAACGTCCTACCACGCCTGGACCTTCCTTGGAGCCTCTGAGCTGTTTTGGGCGATTCTTAAACCAGGCAGCCTGCACGCGGTTTAGGGTTTAGGGTGCAAGTTCTGTTCTCCAAAGGTGCGCTGTTTTCTGGCCCTAAACTTAGCCTGCAAGTTCTGTTCTCCAAGGTTTTTTGGCACGCCATTCTCTGCGAGCAGCATTCTTTCGCAGAGCAAAATGCGCGTGTGCGTGAACTAGAAATTTGTTTCGCGCACAGTGCCTTTGCAGAAGTCTATATGAGGACACATGTTTTGGCACGAGCCACTCTTTGCAGGAATACAACCCAAACAGACGCTTCCTGTCTGGCAACTGAGATCTTTGTTTCTTGGAAGCTCTTGCAGTCGCTGGGCATGAAGTAGACCACGAGCAAATGGGAGTTAAGCTTTGTGGACTGGGGCTTAGGACTGGAAACCCTAAGCTTGTTGATTACCACTCCTTTCTGTCTGCACGGCAGTTCGAGGAAAGTACTAGGGCTTAAGGTTTAGGCCTTACAGTAGGGTGTAGGTTCAGGGTCAGCAGACACTGTGATTGGACCGAGCTTTCACGTTCCAGCAAATTACGCATAATCAAGCAAGCACCCACTGCTGCAACTACGATAACAACCGAAAGTCAAGTACAGAGATTGCAGAGAAATGTGCCGGCACTCACTATGTCAAAGTCTCATACTCCTTTACAGCCCAGTGCCGGTGGAAACACCCCAATTCTCGAAGATCCTGAGCCAGGCCAGGGAGATGTAGGCCCAAGCACAGGGTTCAGAGGTCAGCCTTCACGAGCTTGGACTTGTACTAACTATGTCATACAACATTTCCCATACAAATGAACCATCTACATGGTATACTATTAGATTTTTGAATCACGTCAAGTGTTGTATAATACAGTGGTATACAGTGGAACAATTTTTGGAATATATGTTCTTGTTTATGTTTGCTTGCTCGGATTCTGGTACCTAACTCTCGGCATGCCAAGTTGCAAGAACATGCGCGCACCACCCTGGACGACTAACAACCGACCTATACTTGGAGGGTCAGGGGGACTTAGAAAGTAGGTTGACAATGGGGATAAATAGGGTTACTATATGGGTTATAGGGGTTAGGAACCTACTTACCAAGTCCGCTTGACCCTCCAAGTACTGTCCCCTTGGAATCCTTAAGCAACAAGAGTGCAGCATATCCAGCCTGCCCAAAAAGCCTTAGGCCCATGCCTTCCAGGCAACTGAGGCGTGGACTCATTGTATACGCACTTCTTGATGTTCTTCTTGGCATGCCTCTTTCACTTTGGTTGCCTCTTAAACTATGGTTCCTGTCTTCACAGTATCAAACCGCGGTGTGATAGTACGGAGTATATGGTATGAACAGCACTGAACTCACAAATTTCAGCTACTGCGCTTTCCCTAAAACCTAAACCCTATAAACCCTAAATCCTAGGCTCTAAACCCTAAGCCCCGTGCCCTGAATTGTCTCTTTTGTAGGGTTTAGGGTTTAGGGATTCAGGGTTTAGGGTTTAGGGATGTGGGGTCCAGCTTCTGCTTGAAATGGTTTGGGGGCTTAAGGTGTGGGCCTTTGCCTACTATGGGGGCGCATGGAATGCTGGTAAGTCCCATGGCTATACACATGTGTATAGATGTACGGGATCATTCGCAAAGCTCTGGGTGAATTTGAAAATGGATGTAGGTGGCCCGAACTTGAAACTTGAGGGTCCCAATTTTGAGGGGCGGTGTTATCAGGGGTGGTTTTATCAAATTCCGCCTACTGTTTGACTGATCTTGTACAACTCACATGACTCAATGCTAAACCCTCAACCCTACACCCTGTACCCTTAATCGCGTGGCTTTTGGGCGCAGCCTGCCCCACTTGAAGGTTTAGGGTTTAGGGTTTAGGGGTTTAGGGGCTTATAAAGATAGCTACATAGATAGGTGTCTGACATGCAGGCCCACTACAGCCATCACGATCACTCCTCAGAAGTTAGAAAGCGAAGTCCTTGGATCCCGCTCCCTGGGGCTGTAAGTCAGGAACTTAGCACCTACACCCTAACCCCTAAACGATACCTACTTTGGACCCTAACATTAATAGATCGTACCTGCTTGACATATTAGGAGCCCTGCGTTGAGAAATGACCAGACCAGAACCAAGAGACGAGAAAAGTGAGCTTCCCTAGACTCTGAACCCTAAAACAAGGACCCTCCAGCTACTCACACCTTCCAGCATATAACACAAATGTTCCACCTCAAAGTATGTCCCCCAACAGATACACACCAAGACTCTTGAATGGGACTATGTCATAGGGGAAGTGTGTAATCCTGGGCGGGGATTACGTCTTCCGACGCCTCGCTGGACGAGCCTGGTTTAGAGTAGCAGGGTTTAGGGATTAGGGAATAGGGTTAAGGCGCAGGGCTGTACTGGGTTGAAAGACCAGGTATAAGGTTTAGGGTATATGGGGTCTAGCGACTGGGGTTTAGGGTATAGGTCATCTAGTTTAGCAAGGGTTTGGCATGGATTTAGGTATTTAATGCACGTGGCTTAGTTTTTGGACGGTTCAGGGATTCTGGCGGTTCTAGGATTTGCTTTAGGATCTCCAGGCTTGCGGAATTGGGGGATAGTTGAAGGGAAAATGGAAACTATAGGGATTACAGTATAGGGCTATATAGGGGTATAACATTGGCGTTATACAGGGGGAACGGAAAACAAAATGGAAACTACTATCTGAGGTTATATATCATACATACATATATATATATATGTATATATGGGACTTCAGATTTGTCCCCTCTAGGCCTTGTCGTGGCAGATTGCCCTTACCCCTCTCAGGACAATGCAGGAGCCTTCGTCGTCGGGGCCCACTGAAGCACAACAGCAACAACGAGACTAGAGACTGAAGAAGTACCCGGTTTAGGGCTCAGGGCTTAACATTCAAGAAGCTCGAAAGTGCTTTCACATGCATCCCCCCAAACACTAACCCTAAACCTCAAACTCAAAACCCTAAACCCCAAACCCTAAACCCAAACCCTATACAAGTCAAAAGCACGATGCCTCTGCTTTGTCATCTGCTTCAGGGCAAAGTACCTGTCTTGACAGACATTGATGTGGGTATGTATATCAGTCTATGTGTATAGTATGTAGATGTAGAGACTATGCACGCATGTATGTGTATATATATGTATATATATAATGTATATAAATATGTAGATGTATATATATATATACGTGTTTGTGAATACATATATATATATATACATATATATATACACATGTATATACACATGTATATACACATGCATATACACATGTACATACATATACATATGTCAGTATATATATGTATATAGATGTGTAGATGTACATCTGTATATATGTACGTACGTATAGGTGTACATATAATTATGGATCTGTAATTTGTGTTGTATACTCTTTGTGTGTTTATATTAATATGTATACATATATATATATATGTCTTTACATGCGTATACGTATGTGTGTATATGTATACGTACGCACGTGTGTATATGTACGCGTAGAACATGCACACCCTAGGTCCTGAAATAGCCTAAGCTCCTTGTATCCCCCTTAATTAACGCTATAAGAATCCCAATCCCGTATATAACTCCTTCAAGGAGCTCAGACTCTGGCTCATATCAGATTCTAAGTTGGGGGGGTGTAGAGCTTATCTAGGGGCTTTAGGAGGGGGACCCTTATAGCTTATTGGGGGTAATAGGGGTACTACCTGGTCATATAAGGGGTATACAAGACCTATATAAGGGCTATATAAGGTATTGGGATTAGGGGGCCCTTCTAGGGGTCCCTCCTAATAACCCTTGAGCTTAGTCATCAAGAGTTTCGGAGCTATAGGGTTTAGAGCTTTAGATTTCAGACCCTATTCCTTAAACCCCTAGGTTTAAAGTTCGGTTTTACTGTTTAAGTTTGACAGGTGTAATTGTCCCTGCTACTACATAATCATTTCCCGTATATGCCAGTACACCACCATGGGAACATTTCAGAGTAGGAGGATGGTGGAAGACTTAATTTTGTGGAGAGGGGAGTATAGTACCCCTAAAGTAGGTAGAATATGGAAATGACCAAAAGAATAATAAGATCCCCATATACCCCATATTCTATCTACTTAAAGGGGGACTGTAAGATCCAGGTTGTGGCTTTAGAGCTATGGGGTTAGAGTGTTCGCAGCCTATAAAAACGGTTCTCCAAAGCCAAGTCATGGCCTACGCGTTTTGTGTTTAACCCTAAACCCTAATCCCAAAATCTAAACCCCAAACCCTAAACTAAACCCTAAACCCCTAACCCCTAAACCCTAAACCCCAAACCCTAAACCCTAAAACAAGACCACTAAGTTATCGGGCTCCAAGGGACTGGGTTTAGAGTTGAGGGTGACCGTTTCCTGTGTACTTGGAGGTTCAGAGAAATGTTATAGTCGCCCTTAAGTAGATAGAATATGGGGTATATAGGGATCTTGTTTTAATTAACCCAAAGCCATATTCTATCTACTTAAGGGGGACTATAACCCCATGATATCTGTACTTGTAAGCCAATTATAACCCCAAGTCCCCCAAGATTGTTGTACATGGTTCATACATAACAGCCATCTCCAGGTTATATCAGTACCCTGAACATCCCAGTAAGGTTCCCCGTCGGGGCGCAATGAAACAACCAAAGAGGAACAGCTTTTGAGGTTCAGGATTTCAACCCTACACCACGACCTACGCCCCATCTTCATAGAGTGTAGAAAGGTCGAATTTTCCAATGAGTTCTCATGGCACCTCAGAGGAAAGCCTCACCATTGCCCACAAAGGCAAAATATGTTCAGGCTGAAAAGGTATTCACTGTTGGGCGGCCCATGCTGGAAGAGTGAAATGATGCCTTAAACAAGGTAAAAGATATTAAAATTACGCTCCCGCGAACTAATTAACGTGGCACCCCATATAGCCCCCCATTTGAAGAACAGCAATCCAAAAGAACACCCTTTTCATGACCTTAGTTTGCAGGAGTGCAGTGCTGGATCTTGACGCCTCTCTTTGATGCAGAACGATCCCGACATTCCTCTCAAACAAGAACTCCTGGGGGACCCTTTCAAGGCTTCCTAGTACACTTTCAGGTTTTCATAGCGAAAAGGAACTAGTGGGCATCTATGGGGATCACTTTGGTAGTTTGGTTCTTTAAAGAATGGCCTGTCAAACCCTGTTCCCCAAGACCAACCAGCCCCAAACCCCTGTTTACCCTCCCCCCCTTCCGTTGCTGGGTCTCTAAAATCTAGAAACTTCCCCCAACCCGACTTGATTAAGCCCAAACACTGAGATGCAATTTTGGAATTGTGGAAGTTCATATGTTTCCGAAGATAGAAGCTCGTGGGGATCTGCATCGGGGATTTGTTTTTTGAAATTGCCCGTCTATGCACAAAACAAGGAACGCAGCCGTAGTGTCCCCAGACCCTTCCGGTACGCGAAATTGGGGGAAGCCCCTGATAGGGGGCAATGATTCCCTACTTGGGGGGGTCAGGGGGACGTAGTAAGTAGCTTAATGACCCCTATAAACCATAAACCATATAGTAACCCTGGTTACTCTCCCTGACCCTCCAAGTTATAGTGGGTAATGATGCCTAATGGAGGGTAGTTTGGAAGGTCTAGATCAATGAAGACCCTCACAGTGCAGCATGATCTCATGACAACGCAGTGATAATTAAGCAGCAACCCAGTCAGTCTGTTTATTGCTTTTGCCAGTTTTCTAGTTGGTATCATTGTTTATTAGTACGTCTAACATGATTATTGTTATGATTATGAGGATCATTGTTGTTACCTCTGTTATCGTTATATTCTTAAGAAAAAACATTGGACTCTGGACTAGCACCTTTCGCGTCGGGTCACTGAGGAGTTTCAGCACTCTTGAGACCGACGAGGAAGACCGTGCCGAAGGCACCCTTAGCAACAGTCATGCTGCAGAGCTTGCATTTGAGCTTAACTACTACTATCCACCTTCGTAACCCCCAAAACAGAACCCCTTCGGAGTATAGACTCTAGCTCAATTAGCATGATCTAAGATGATCGAAGCGAGTGTACTTGTGTACCCACTGAAAGGATATGAACCTCCAAGTAGGCTTTCACACACATATTCAGCTTGGATTTTGAGGGGCTCCACACAGCAAACCTAGGTCTAAGATTTTCCAGAAACAGCCGGGCCCTCACCTATAGCATATACTATGCGATGATCCTTACCATCTGCTCAGATTTATTTCACCCTTACTGTAGACCCAGGTTTATATAGAGGTAATATATTAATATAGGGCGAATATAGGGATTATATGGGGATAATGGAAGAGAAAATGGGAACTGCTATTTGCGGTTTAGGGCTTAATGTAGACCCATAATTGATGAACCTCCTCCTTTTGAGAGCCTTAGTGCCGTAATCTTAAGATCCCTATTATAATCTCTATTTAGGGGAGGGGGTTTATTAATCAGGGGTCTGGGTTAACATCGTCTCTGGTGATCTCTACGTTATGGAAGCCTTCATATTCTCACCCTAAACTCTACACCATTATGAACCTTAAGCTTTAAAACTCTAGTGGGCCCTAATTCCCAAGGCGAAAGATTGCATAGGGCTATGAATCCCTCTCAACCGTACCAACCTATTTGGTAGTTTCCCAAAATGAGGGGACCCTAATATAGAGCCCAAAATATTATAGTCCTTATTATTGGGACCCCCTCAAAGGTACCCCTAATTTTGAGAAACCACCATTTTCTACGAGTGATGACTTTCCGCTTAAAACTTAAAACCAACCCATTACAGAGGCCTCTATGCTTTGGATGGTAAGCAAATGGGTCTTAGACAGGTCAATAGGCGAAACTCCCCGTACCGCCTCACTCCACAACATCCGAAAGATTCGGCAAACTATGAGGGACGGAATTCTTTTAGGGCTCAGTGTTTGTTTTTAGGGCTTATAGGGCTCCCTAAACTCTAAATCTTAAAGTTTTAAACCCTGGAACCCTAAACCCTAGAGGTTCAGACTTTGACATACTCCGCGGTTGGAGAGAAATGGCAGAGAGACTTCAGTACAAGCAACGACCAGGTCACAGAAGAGGGGGGCGCACACTGGAGACCATAGGAGGATATGGGGTTTAATAACCCTAAACCCTATATGGGAGTTCTCATAAGACTGACAGGAACCCTGAGAATTCTGGGTGAAGTCCTAAACCCTAAACCTAGACCCTAAATCGTCCTAACCCCTACTGAAAATTCTAGGGGGCGGGGGGGTACAATGAAACGGCACTCTTAGGGCTAAGTGATGCTAAGGGATTGGCCTGGGTTCAGGGTTTAGGATTTTGGGTTTAGGGCAGGGCGCTTATTTCGCAACATACTATCTGAGTTGATTGATGGTAGGTTCAGCGCATGCACAGTGATGAAATCCTTCTGTATGACATGTACAGCGATGAAAAATAAGTGCAGCCAAACATACAAAGGAAAGTGCTAAACCTTTTATGTTGAACCCTAGATGAATCAGTAGTTTCTATGGTCTTTTCCATTATCCCAATATATCCCCAATATTACCCCTATATATCCCTCCCTAAACCCTATGAACCTGGGAAGCCACTATGTAGCAAGAGCTCACATTTTCTCCTCTTGCTTCTGAGGGTATAATGCGCTGATCTCAGGAAATGGATAGTGGTTTCGCGGCAAAGCACCCCCACCCCCTCCCCCACCCTCACATATGTTATACTATACCACGACTGGGAGTATTTAGTATCAGGAAGGGTGGGGGGGGTTAATATTGGGGGGAGTGGATTACATGCTGTTGTGACTTGTCAAATCTTCTGATGACTGAAAGCCCTCTCAGAGCTCCAGCAATTGACAGAATCAATGCTCAGCTAGGACAAGCTACAGACTGGGTATACCTGGTAAGTTCACATGTCTGCTTGAAATGTTCGAGCTCCGCCCTTCAAACTTGTGTAAATACACACGGCCGCAGAAACCAAGAAAACTCCATCCCCTGCATCGAATGGTTAAATAAAATTGAGAAGTGCACTTGCAGAGGCCTCTCTTGGCCCCGTTTTCGAAGGCGAAAACAGCCTCTCTCTCTCTCTCTGCAACAGCGGCACCCGATTAACGCGCACCGGTTGCTTCCAAGAATCAGGGGCCACAGAAGGTGCATCCGGAGATTGCGTTTACCCCGAACTGTACTGAAGGATTTCATGCAGCACCTGCAACTTAGTCTCAAAACCACACCGAAAAGTGTCTTGACATACAGTCCCCCTTAAGTAGATAGAATATGGGGTGTATGGGGATCTTATTATAATATACCCAAAGCTGTATTTTAACTACTTAAGGGGGACTATATCTTGGTGCGTCGAAGCAATACCTTGCTGTAACCTTTCTAGAGGGCTCGTAAAACTGCAGATAGCCGTTATAGGAATGTGCCAACCCTGACCCCCCCCTTGTGGAAACTGCCACAGAGTGAGCTACAGTCTAAACTCTCAGCATCCCCTTAATAACCCCTGCAATACTCCCCTAGATAGTCCCCTATATAGCCCCCCTTTAAGGAGTTTAGAGCCTAAACCCTATATAATCCCCTATATAACCCCTTCAAGGAGGTTTCCTGCTATAGCCCACATGTCTTTGTTGCCTGCGCGGCACTTGTGCTGTGGTACTAAGACCTCGCTCAACATGTGAAGCTCTGCAACATGAGGACATGTGGTGCTGAGGCGCCCTAAAGGGTTTAGGGTTTATGGGCATTGAGGCTTCAAGGCTGAGACTTTAGAGTTCAGAGTTTCAGGTTTGCAGGTGATTGATCAAATCATTTAGCCCTTGTTGAGCGCGCTTTGGGCGGAGAAACACCCCGAAGCCGGTTGAACATCGGTGTGAAGTTCACAAGGCATCGAAGGTGATCCACACACAAATGGCAATTATGATATGGATAGTTTTGATAAGACAACTAATGCTAATACTAAGAATAATACTAGTAGACATCATGGCAATAGTAACTAATAACAGCAACAATGAAGGATAATCCCCCACCCTGTAACAGTGATGTAATAGGAATATGAGAGGACCCTAATATAATCCTTACTATCCCTTACAGTCACTATTACTGGGTGGGGGGTCCTGATAGAGGTATATGGGGATCTTATTGTAATATACCCAAAGCCCCTTCAGTAGATAGAGGTATATGGGGATCTTATTATAATATACCCAAAGCCATATTCTATCTACTTAAGGGGGACTAGAAGTGTTCAGGATTTGGGGCCACCAAGCGTCTCAACGTTGCGCGATCCAAGATGGCCCAAGCAGAAATGCAAGGGCTGGTGGGGGTATGCGGGCTGACCCTAAACCCCAGACCCTTAAATCCTTAAACCCTTAAACTCGCAGAAAACACTGAGCGAGTAAAGTAATCCCTTCTCCCTCGATCACAACCCCCTAGTTGACGTTGATCATCCCGTCCCCCAAAATTACACCCCCGCCTAATATGAAACACGGGTTCCGCAGAATTCCCAAACCTGAATGTGCCCCCAAGGCTACTTTGAAAGAAAGGGGCCAAGACTATAAAGCTAATTAAGGGCTCGGATCCTCTGAATTTGGGGGGGTCCATAGCATGACTCTGAAGGATTAGGGATCTCCTTGATTTCCAAGGTTTTGACTGTTTTTGACCAGAGGAGTACAAATAAACTCTGAATGCGATTTACATTGTTTTTTTGAATTTAAGTCGTTCTTTGCTGCTAGACCTTAATTTAATTGTGAATATCTTAATTAGATTGAACTTGCGTTTGATTTCGATTCTCAATGATTTTGAACTGATTTAACGTATTAGAAATCCTGATTAGATTTCAATTGCATTGAATTCGATGCTAATTCGTCTTTGTTATAGTTTCATTGGATTTGACTTATCTGTTTTGTATTCAGGCTAATCGATGTTTATTCGATCTTGACTAGATTTCAATCTGATCCTATTGTGTGCCCCCCTAAATGTTCGGGTCGTACGACAAAACCCCGCTTTAATTTGAAATAGATGGGAAAAGATTAATACAATCCAGGACTCGAGGACTTCAAAAGAGACTTTAGAAAGGGAAACCTGTTCTAAAACCCCTAAACCCTAAACCCTAAACCCTAAAACCCTAAACCCTAAACCCTAAACCCCCAAGCCCTAAACGCGCGGCCAAGACAAGCCAACCTAACGACAATGAATGACACCCTGTAACGTAGAATCAAATGGAAAAGAAAATGGAAAATGAAATGGAAACTGGGTTTATATAGGGAATTATAGGGATTAGGGTTTCCCAAAATTGGGGTATATAGTAATATTTCTAATGGGGGCTGTATAGGGATATTTATAGGGATGTATAGTGTCTAGGGCTTGGGGGTTCCCAAATTTAGAGGTACCATTTTGGGGATCCCAATAATAAGGACTATAGTATATTCTATGTTGGGTTCCCCGTATGTTGGGAAACTACCATGTGGGAGCACAGATTGCAAGAGTTTAGGGCAGGGCCTTGGCATTTTAGGGACGTTTGATGTGGGATTTCGGTTCAGAGTCCAGGGATTATCATGATTTGTCGATTGGAGCATGAGGGAAAGAATCGGGTTCAGGAGTTCGTTGAGTTAGTGTTGGCGTCTATGGCTCTGGATGTGTGGATTTTGAGGGAGTCGCTGCTGGCAGGGCTTGCGTGGAATGCCCGGGACCTCAGAGCAAACATGGAGCCGGCATAAGATGCCCCTTCAGGGGAAACCTGCCTGGTAGTCACCACCAACGACATGCCTTTATCGTGCTATTCCTGTCCCCTCCCCTGACTGCACTGATCCCATAGAATCCTTTCATCCTACGCTCCTCTACAGCTGACCCCCTGGAACCCGCAGTGTTTCGCATACCTTCGCATCATTACCAAGAATCATAAGACTGAAAGAACGGCCTCTGCAAAGAAGAAGGAACTGCTA